CTCCTTGAAGTTCTTGATGATCCGGTAAATGGTTCTTTCAGGTGCAATATTCTTTGTAGCAATTTCCTTGCATGTGAGGCCATTTTGATGCACCACGATGCTGGCTGCACGTGTTTCTTTGGAGGTAACCATTGCTAACAAGAACACAATGATTGAAAGTGCTTCTTCCCTCCTTTTATAGCAATCAGTCTGCTCTTACAATCTAATTAGTATGATAGTGATTTCACCTGACTAGTACTCATTCACACTTTCACATGTGCTGCTGATATGAATAGTCAATTAATGTTAGCTGGTCATTTTGTGTCAGGATCAAAAAACAGTGACATTTTTGAAGTTCATTTTTTTTGGCCAATGAAGCTTTTAGCAATTATTTAAAATGCATCTGATCACTCTACACAATAATCTAGAAACAATGTGAATGAACACCACAACAGCTTAAGCAGCAAACTTTGCAAAACACAAAATTTATGTCACTGCCAAAACGTTTGGCCAGGACTGTAGATACAAACCAGGGGAGTTGGAGGATATGGATTGATCTCAATAGAGAAATACTGCCATCTACTGGATATCAGATGTCTTATAGAAATCACAGGAAAACATAATAATTATAATATTCCTCTCATGTCTGACATATTCAACTCATGGACTCAGAAATGAAAGGTGTTTCTTTTTTGGCCAATAATAAACCTGCAAAGGTTGTGTGAGCACTGCACTTCTGATGCTAAGGATCACAGGTTGGAGGAGAACTTAACATCAATATTTTAAGTTAATAAGTTGTGATGACCCATTACATGAGTCTGGAATCAAATAATTCATGGTCATTGTGAGGGGGTAAATGGCCAGATGACAACTGGGTTTTACCTTCTATCATTGGAAACGTATAGCGACTTTCGAGAGAGGTGTGATTTTAGTTCCCTTAAGGAAGCACATATGCAAATTTAACCTTCAGTCAGCTTGCACGGTCCGTTGACTTCCTCTTTCTTTTCCTGTCAGTCTCTCTCTCCCTATTTAGTTCTCCCTTCATGGTGACATTATCCAAGAACTATGCCAGGTAATTCTGAAATTTCATTTTTATTTATTCTTCTCTGAAGAAAACACTGAAACCCCCCTCCGTCATTTTCTGCTGGTCATTCAATACTGAAATGATTATATCTAATTACAGTAACTAAGCTTTTAAGGGAGTCTTATATATTTCACATTCTATAATGATTATATTTCGCAACTGTTGCATTTTCTGTCTTATATAAGAATTGTGTCTTGAAAAACTACTTTTTTGTTTTCAAATTACTGACAGAACATGCAGGGTTGGAATGAAAGTTTTACAGTGCTCTGGTGATGCCACCAAAAAGTACAGTCAAAAATACTATTGGTATTCATATTATTAACCAATGGGACACAACAATATGTCATTCACTGCCTTTTTTGTCCCTAAATTCTATCCCCAGATCACAGTTGTATTGCCTTATAGTGCTGAACAATACATTTTTTAAAGCTGTTTAGTCATAAATAATACCACCCTTTCTCTCTCTCTCTCTTTTTTCAAAATTCATCTTGCAGAAATACAACTAAAAATAGAAAGAAAAAAATCCCTGCATTTACTATAGAGCACAGTTTTCATACTAGAAAAGAGTTGATGCAGAAAGTAGTTGGAGTTTATATTTTGCATTTAGCTAACACATTTGTTTTTCAGTCATGGTGGGGATTTTGCATACATTTACACTGTTCTTATAATGATCTAACAAAAACCCACAACCCACCTTACCTTCACTTAAACCTCTTGCCATTTTTTGATTTTTAATTATTTAGCATGTGTGGGTCACACTTTGCCTGGACCAAATTCAATCTGAAAACCTGAAACCACCACAGCTAAACATCAAAACAGCTAAATGTTTGGAGAAAAAAAAATGGTGTGAACAATTTTGACTCTTGCTAGTATATTTCACAAACAATTACAGAAAAAAATTAAAGTAGAAATAAACTTCAAGTTTCTGATACCGAATACCATAGTTCATATTAAAGGAATAGTTCACATCCAAAATGTAGATGAGTTTGTTTTTCAGTGGAACAGATTTGCAGAAATTTAGCAATACATCACTTGCTCACCAGAGGATGCTCTGCAGTGAATGAGTG